ATGTACCCCTAGAAAAAGTGGCTTCCCTTTCTGTGCCCTCGAAATAATCGTTTGGACTCCTATACCCGCTTTAAAAGTTAATGCCAGTTGACGGAAAGGGCAACAGAGGGAAGAAAAAATTTAGAGCGGGCATAGAAGTCCCAATTGGCTGAAAGGGACTTATAATTAGAATTGGCTGAATTACAACATATTGATATATTGAGTTATACAAAACTAGTAGTAAATGAAGAGTTGATGTTATGTCTCAAAGATAGAGAGAATTTAGTAAGGACTAATTAAGAAACAAAAAAGGTGGCAAAACACAAAGATGCACTAAACAAATTCCAAAATCGGTCTTCTATTTGAACGTACTTTTAAAAAGTTAAGGAGCTATAAATGCAAGCTAAACATAATCAGTAGTGCAATAGAAGTTTTCCATTTGAGCATATATATATTTTTGATAAATATAAGAAACTATAAATGCGAGCCAAACATATGTGAGGGACAAAAAAAGCATTCCACTAGTTCGATTGATTTCCATTTGTATGCCTTATTTACAAACTAGGATCGACTATATATAGAGGGGCCCAACTTCCATCCACCACAATACCCTCTCATCCACATAGATCCACAAAATAGAGAAGAAAAAATTCACAAGCTAGCCATGGCTAGCACCAAGAATAGTATCATCGGAGCGACCACATCACCAATTGTGGTCGTGGTGGCAATGACACTACTAACCACACTTTTGATGATCGTGGCAGATGCACAGGCATACGATGACTCGGCAATGCCACCTGGCATGGTTGGGGATTTGCTGCCATGGGGGAGAGTACCACCCTCCGGGCCAAGCCATCTGCCGCCCTTGGTGGCGATGCCACCACCATGTTTATATACCACCTGTCGGACCTAGGAAGCCTCCTTCCATAGTGGCGATGCCACCTAATGGGGTTGGGGATCTGCTACCATGAGGAAGAGTACCACCCTTCGGGTGGGCCTAGCCATCCGCCACCCTTGGTGGCGATGCCACCACAATGGAGCATACCACCCTGTGGGCCCAGCAAGTCACCGCCTTCTGGGCATAGAAAGTCACCACCCTCTGGGCATAGAAGGTCACCGCCCACACCACCATGGAGGAGAATACCACCCTCTGGACCAAGCAAGCCACCGTCCATGGAGGAAATGATCGACCATAGTAATCATGTGCTCGGTGTGAATGAGAAACTTGTTGGTAATGGAGGGATGAATACACAAGGATGATGCGGTGTGACTTATAAGCAAGAACCTAAATAATAAGAGCATCTGGGTTGTTTATTTTCATTGAGTTCATGCATATGGTATAGGAAAGATACTCTTCTAAACACAAATGTCACCTTTGCTTCAAAGATGAAGTGGCCTACAATAACCTTCAGATAACCTCCATCTCGTCCTTGTGTTGTAAGATCCTCTAGTTTCTTGCAAACTGACTACAAACAAACAACGCCTATCACTAATAGGCCTGCGAGAAGGTGTAGTTCAATTTCTTCGAGTCAGGACCAGATTAACAAAAGAAACTAAAACATATGAATTAAAATGTAAATAACTACTAGAACTCTACTTTTTGAGATGTTACATTTTATTTTCAGTGGCCATCGAAAACAACACTCACCTCTAAAAATAATTAATCAAGCTAGGCCTAATGAGTGTAATCCCTCTATAGAAATTAATTTTCAAGTGAAGGTCTATTAAGAAAGATAAATCTTAAAACAGAGCTCTCCTCTAAAATGGTCCGTTACATAAAGAGGCTCCCCTCTAAACTGGATTTTCATATGAGGTTCTCCTATGAAACTGTCTTTAAAAGTAGGCTACTTTCTTTGGGGCCTCTTAAGAAAGCGCCTCTAGAAATAACTGCCACACAAAATAAATCCATAACTTTTTTCATAGGGGAGATGGAGATAGAGGAGAAGAGCTGGTGACCTGCTATCACAGAAGAAAGAAAAAAGGAATAGGGGCAAACAAGAAAAGGAAAGATATTACCTGAGCCACTGACTTATAGGTTCCACATGTCATGAGAAAGAAGAAACCATGATTGGAGGGTTCCTATTAGAGTTGAGAAACGAATCTAGGCCTCCTAAACTATGTTTGATTCAATTTACTCCCACAACTATTTCATTTGGTCCAATTTACCACTTAACAACATTTTATCTCTAGATAAAAATGGGTTTAAATTTTAATTCTTGTGAGATGGGTAGAGAATATCTGCGGTCATCACAGATGGGGATTATACAAAACTACATCTGACATATAGACTGCCCTCCAGACGAACCTTATGGTGGCCGATCTGTAAAATAAACAAAACACAGATGCATGGGTTGTTATAAAGCCCCGTCTATGATATAGATTACATCAAAGAAGAGTCTTAACTATATAAACGGGTGAAGAATCCATGAGTGTTGGAGTTTGAGATGAACTGTGACATCACTAGAGATGAAAACAAATGGGTCCGTTTGAACAAACCCTCTCCGGATTTCACATTTACATTGCGGGAACAAAATCGAAATCGAGATGGTCAGAAACTAGAATTAAAATGGGATTCACTGGAAATAAAAAATGGATCAATTTGAACGGTCGTGATACGAAAAGACAAAATAGGAATGTAGAAACATAAAACAAAGAAACATGAATTCATATACTGACCTAAACGACCTAGGAAGGCAACAATGCCAACACATAAATATTCTAATTCATACCTAAGATTCATAAGATGACAAGAGTATAAGACCATAAGCGTGTGTTTGGTTTGAGGACGTGGTGGGATAGAATGGAACCAACCCAGTTTTCCATCCATGTTATTTGTTTGGTTGAGAAGGATGGGATGATTTTTGTTTCTGTTCGGTTTGTAGGATTTAGAGATATGGGATGAACTCATTTTCTCTCTCCGTTAGTGGCAATAAGGAGTAGGTCCCACATGTCTGTAGCTTGGCCTTATCTTCTTGCTCCAAAATCTCGCATCCACGGTTCCTCGTCCGCAGCACCGAGGAGCTCACCCGCACGTCTGCGGTTCCTGGCCGGCGTGGTCGCCTCCATGTTCCTTGCCACATGGTCCGTGTCTAGGAAAATAATTTTTGAAAAAAAATGAAAAACAACCATAAAAATAGTATCTTTTTATATTACAAGAGAAACACACCAGGGAGGCAACGCAATAGCACATCGCAAATCATAAAGTTCATGCAATTTTCCCACAAAATACACACATGTGTGCGCTCGGCTATAGATTTGAACTTCCGACCTCAAGGCTCACGCAAGCCCCCAAACTATACTAGGTCATAATCTCCAAAAAAAAAAACTACTACGTCATAGGGTCACTTTTGACAAAGTGTGGGACCCAGTTTTATCTATTGACTTTTACAAATCTTCCGGCACATATTTTGATACCAAAAAGTTTTAAACTAAAAAAGAGTAAAATGTAAATTTTTGAATCTTATCAAGCATAGCATGTCTCTCCATCCGAGGTCATTTAAAAAAATAATAATTTTGAGATCTTGAGAACTTAAAACATAATTCCGAGATACTAAATAATTTCAAATGGATCAACTACAAAAGTTATAGATATTTTTGAGTTCTACAACCTTGATAAAAGTTTGTCTTCATCCGACTTGACTTAAAAAAGTTATGAGTTTTTTTGGTATTGCACCTATTTTTAGAGGTGAGCTACATTATTAACTGTCTCTTGAAATCGATTTCAAAAGGTATGTAGTGTTTTCAACTGCCTAAAGAAATGTCTTTTTTTCTAGAAGTGGTTGGAAACTCTAACGTCTTCTAGAAATAAGATTTCTAGAGACAGTTGGTATTGTCAATTGTATCTAAATATAGAGGACATTTCTAAAGGTGACCGAAAAACATGAACCATATCTAGAAATCAATTTTTAGAAGTGGACCGTCTCTATAATTTTTGAGACGGTTTTTGATAAAACCGACTCTGCCTAAAAAATTGGGAGCAAGTGAAAATTGTTTTTGTTTATAATTTAAGTAATAAATATCGATCAAACTAATCAATGTTTTGTACTTCTCACGAAGAGATAAGAAGTGTTTCTGGCATTATTAGTTCATTGTGAAATCTTCATGATATATAGTAGCTAATCTACTATTCCATCTAAATGGAAAAATTGAACGAAGAGGTTTCGTGTGGTACTCCCAAATAGGGAGCCGTTCATTTAATTAGATCCGATGTTTAGTATCTACTTGGTAGGAGGTAATAGTTGAAATATATATTTATTTAATTTGTAATTTTGTAAAATAGGATAAATAAGGGGAAAATGTTTGTTTTAGATTAGAAAATATTTCTTCTAGATCTAATAGTTGCATTGTGATTCGTTAGAGATATATATGGCAAATTTGTCTATTAACGTGACATATTTGATTAGTTGGAACATGTGTTCTATATCTGGAACGTGTTTTCATACGTGTTCCTTATTCAATTGTGTGTGTTTTCTACGGTGTTACCTTACAATTGGGTTTATACTATATGAATGGTTTTCTTTTTGAACATGCATGTTAGCTAACACAACATGTTTCTTTTTGGTAGTGTGTTTCTGATGACCCAAACGTGTTCAAGATAGGCATTACTAGTTAACTTTATGTGTCTGCTTCCGTGTTGAAGAAGTGTCACATATGAGGTACACACTCATCAGGCTAGCAGCTGCTGCAGCAAGGACATAGGTTGCATGGCAGTCCAGGTGCATCGGATATCCAGGATTGGGATTGATCCCTCTACGGTCACAAATCCATGCTCGATGAAAATGAAACACTGCATGTCGTCATTATCACGCGCTTATTAAGTATTCCATATATATGTGGCAAATGATCACTGATCAAATTAAATCCTCCGAGAGTTACTGCTGTGATCGCTCGAACACCTGTCTCCAGCTTTCAGGCGAGTCCACCCTATATATAATGCCCCATGCACGAGCTTTACAAATTGTAAAGCATCCAAGAGCATCTCTTAATCAGCTATAGCCTATAGGTAGCTACCAACGTCGTCAATGGCGGGGCACAGGAAGACGCCTGCCATCGCGGCGGCGGCGGCATTCCTCGTCTGCTGTCTCCTGCTCTCCTCCACGGCGTCAGTGTCAGCGGCGCGCCTGCGGCTGACCGCTGGAAAGATCGCCTCCCGGCCTCCTCCCCCTCGGTTCCCCCACGATCTCATAATCATCGATTCCCCGACCGCCGACGACGACCACGACGGGGGCGAGCGATTTCCTGTTCCTCCGCCGCCGACCCATCCTCCGTCACCTAACCCAGCGAAGCAACCGCCGCCGTTTGCCTACTACTAGCGCCGGTGTCGACGAAATATGCTTGTCATCTTGTGACGAATAAGTTGTTTTTTTGTTATATAAATATATATAGCTATATATACCATATATAAAAACGTTACGTACGTTCTTGATGATTGGAGAAATAAACGTCAAAAGTAGAACCCATGTAAAATTGTGATGATGTTTCCACTGCTCTTCTGATCTTTTTTTTTCAATCACTTTTTACGGGTCATGTGTTTGATTTTTTATTACTGTTTAAACAACATATAACTTTATCATTATTTTGCTATAGAAAAAAGGTTGCTATATTTCAGGTACGGTGCCTGAATTTTAAGATAATTTCAGATGACAATCTTATATACAACTAAATATACAACTCAGAAGAAATATATATTTTATAATATTTTTTTAGTCAAACAATGACAAATTACCTGTTAACTAAACAACAACAAATATTAAGGCACCTGAAATATAAGAAAAACATAAAAAAATTGTGGATTATGTTCTTTTAATAATTAAACTAATTATTATTGCGTAAGGGCTCGGAGACCTGAAACATAGCAAATTTTTTTTCAAGGTCTCTGTTTGCTTAGATGGAATTCATAAAAGGTCACTATTTTTAGGGCAGTAGCAAACGCACTGCACCTGAGCCATCTGCTGAGTGCACGCTATATATAGATTATAGAAAGACCCCGGCCGTGCATGCAGCGTTGCGACAGATCCAATCCAAGAACGACCGATCGATCCAGAGAAGCTCAGCCACCCGCAGGTAGCTGCTCTGCTAGCTCCGAGTCTCCGACAATGGCAGTGCAAAAGGCCTCCACGAGGACACCGGCGATCGCCGCACTCCTCCTCCTGCTGCCGGCGCTGATGCTGTCCTCGACGGCGTCGGCCGCGCGCCCGTTGGGTGGAAGCATCCTCGAACTAACCCAACCCTTCTCCGACCCTCCTCCGAGGCCTTGGGGTCCCATGGTCATCTACCCTCCGCCGCAGAAGACAGGGCAAGCGTCGTCGTCTCCTCCTCCTCCGCGTCCGGTGGACTCGGTGGCGGAGCCGCCGTACATTATTCAGGTGCCCTCCGGCCGCGCGCCCTGGATTTCCCTACCACCACCATGCGCCACCGCCAGAGACATACTAGCCGTTGGCGCCGAGTAACTATTGATTGATTCATAGGAATCTTAGTACGAGATAGACCGGATTTAATTTTTTTTTTTTTTGAGGAAACAGGACTGAAAATTTATTAAACAACAACCAAGCCAGTTGCACAAGAGTTCAAAACAGGCAGTAAAAAACAGCAGGGAGTAGTTCAAGAAACAAAGAAGGAAACAAAGAAAATCAAGGCTATTATACAACTTGCTCTAGCCATGAACTAATTGCAGGGAAATAATTCTTTTTGGCCCTCCATAGGAGCAGACCAAAGATGTCCTTGAAAATTTCAGCACCACGCATATTTGCAGGAATCCCTCTGAAGATGAGGCAGAATATTTTTTTAGTTTTATTATGCTTATGATCAAAAAATTAAGCACGCCAAATAGATATATTATTGTTGTGTTTCTTACTACTGCCAGGAAACCAAATAATTCAAATCTACAAAGCATTAACAGAGACGAGGCAGACGTCTTAAGGTGATTGCCTCTGTTAATACCATTTAACAAAGGTATCCTTGTGCGTCCGTCTTAGTTAATTAACTGAGGCGGCCATGGCTCCTACCTTTGGAAAACGTCTAATTAATAGCAACCATTTGCCCGAGCGGAAGCCGTGCCCACCTCTAGAAATCCAAAATGGCTGCATATGAAGACCATTTCAGCAGTAGTGAACATTTCATTTTTCAAAAAATATCTTTTTCAGATGGTTAACGTTATTGAGCCACCAGTATAAACGTTGGCACTAGCGGTTAACCTAAGTATTTTGCCTATGTAAATTTGTTTACACAAGCGGCATCGTTATGCCAATAATAACCGGTGTAAATAGATCTACACTAGCAGTTCTCAAGCATATGCCAATGGAACATCATCATTTTCTTTATCTTTCATGCTGGTGGTTCACAAAACTGCCTGTATACCGCTAGTAAAACCCATTTCTATAGAGAGAATTCCCTTTGTACCACTAGAAAAAGTGGTTGTCTCTTCTGTGCCCTCGAAATAATCGTTCAGACTCCTATGCCCGCTTTCAAAGTTAATGGCCAGCTGATGGAAAGGGCACTCATTATCTTCTGTAAATAAAGATACAAAAAACTACCGCTAGTAAAAACCATTTCTATAGAGAGAATTTCCTATGTACCCCTAGAAAAAGTGGCTGCCCTTTCTGTGCCCTCGAAATAATCGTTTGGACTCCTATACCCACTTTAAAAGTTAATGCCAGCTGACGGAAAGGGCGACAGAGGTAAGAAAAAATTTAGAGCGGGCATAGAAGTCCCAATTGGCTGAATTATAACATATTGATATATTGAGTTATACAAAACTAGTAGTAAATGAAGAGTTGATGTTATGTCTCAAAGATAGAGAGAATTTAGTAAGGACTAATTAAGAAACAAAAAAGTGGCAAAACACAAAGATGCACTAAACAAATTCCAAAATCGTTCTTCTATTTGAACGTACTTCTGAAAAGTTAAGGAGCTATAAATGCAAGCTAAACATAATCAGTAGTGCAATAGAAGTTGTCCTTTTGAGCATATATATATTTTTGATAAATATAAGAAACTATAAATGCGAGCCAAACATATGTGAGGGACAAAAAAAGCATTCCACTAGTTCAATTGATTTCCATTTGCATGCCTTATTTACAAACTAGGCTCAACTATATATAGAGGGGCCCAACTTCCATCCACCACAATACCCTCTCATCCACGTGGATCCACAAAATAGAGAAGAAAAAAATTCACAAGCTAGCCATGGCTAGCAGCAAGAATAGTATCATCGGAGCGAACACATCACCAATTGTGGTCGTGGTGGCAATGACACTACTGACCACACTTTTGATGATGGAGGCAGACGCACAGACATACGATGACTCGGCAATGCCACCTGGCATGGTTGGGGATTTGCTGCCACGGGGAGAGTACCACCCTCCGGGCTGAGCCATCCGCCACCCTTGGTGGCGATGCAACCACCATGTTTAATACCACCTGTTGGACCTAGGAAGCCGTCTTCCATAGTGGTGATACCACCTAACGGGGTTGGGGATCTGCTACCACGAGGAAGAGTACCACCCTCCGGGTGGGCCTAGCCATCCGTCACCCTTGGTGGCGATGCCACCACAATGGAGGATACCACCCTGTGGGCCCAGCAAGTCACCGCCTTCTGGGCATAGAAAGTCACCACCCTCTGTGCATAGAAGGTCACCGCCCACACCACCATGGAGGAGAATACCACCCTCTGGACCAAGCAAGCCACCGTCCATGGAGGAAATGATCGACCATAGTAATCATGTGCTCGGTGTGAATGAAAAACTTGTTGGTAATGGAGGGATGAATACACAAGGATGATGCGGTGTGATTTATAAGCAAGAACCTAAATAATAAGAGCATCTGGGTTGTTTATTTTCATTTTGTTCATGCATATGGTCTAGGAAGGATACTCTTCTAAACGCAAATGTCACCTTTGCTTCAAAGATGAAGTGGCCTACAATAACCTTCAGATAACCTCCATCTCGACCTTGTGTTGTAAGATCCTCTAGTTTCTGGCAAACTGACTACAAACAAACAACGCCTATCACTAATAGGCCTGCGAGAAGGTGTAGTTCAATTTCTTCAAGTCAGGACTAGATTAACAAAAGAAACTAAAACATAAGAATTAAAATGTAAATAACTACTAGAACTCTACTTTTTGAGATGTTACATTTTATTTTCAGTGGCCATCGAAAACAACACTCACCTCTAAAAATAATTAATCAAGCTAGGCCTAATGAGTGTAACCCCTCTATAGAAATTAATTTTCAAGTGAAGGTCTATTAAGAAAGACAAATCTTAAAACAGAGCTCTCTCCTCTAAAATGGTCCGTTACATAAAGAGGCTCCCCTCTAAACTGGATTTTCATGAGGTTCTCCTATGAAACTGTCTTTAAAAGTAGGCTACTTTCTTTGGGGCCTCTTAAGAAAGCGCCTCTAGAAATAACTGCCACACAAAATAAATCCATAACTTTTTTCATAGGGGAGATGGAGATAGAGGAGAAGAGCTGGTGACCTGCTATCACAGAAGAAAGAAAAAAGGAATAGGGGCAAACAAGAAAAGGAAAGATATTACCTGAGCCACTGACTTATAGGTTCCACATGTCATGAGAAAGAAGAAACCATGATTTGAGGGTCCTATTAGGGTTGAGAAACGAATCTAGGCCTCCTAAACTATGTTTGATTCAATTTACTCCCACAACTATTTCATTTGGTCCCATTTACCGCTTAACAACATTTTATCTCTAGATAAAGATGGGTTTAAATTTTAATTCTTGTGAGATGGGTAGAGAATATCTCCGGTCATCACAGATGGGGATTATACAAAACTACATCTGACATATAGACTGCCCTCCAGACGAACCTTATAGTGGCCGATCTGTAAAATAAACAAAACACAGATGATGGGTTGTTATAAAGCCCCGTCTATGATATAGATTACATCAGAGAAGAGTCTTAACTATATAAACGGGTGAAGAATCCATGAGTGTTGGAGTTTGTGATGAACTGTGACATCACTAGAGATGAAAACAAACAGGTCCGTTAGAACAAACCCTCTCCGGATTTCACATTTACATTGCGGGAACAAAATCGAAATCGAGATGGCCAGAAACTGAATTAAAACGGGATTCACTGGAAATAAAAAATGGATCAATTTGAACAGTCGTGATACGAAAAGACAAAATAGGAATGTAGAAACATAAAACAAAGAAACATGAATTCATATACTGACCTAAACGACCTAGGAAAGGCAACAATGCCAACACATAAATATTCTAATTCATACCTAAGATTCATAAGATGACAAGAGTATAAGACCATAAGCGTGTGTTTGGTTTGAGGACGTGGTGGGATAGAATGGAACCAACCCAGTTTTCCATCCATGTTATTTGTTTGGTTGAGAAGGATGGGATGATTTTTGTTTCTGTTCGGTTTGTAGGATTTAGAGATATGGGATGAACTCATTTTCTCTCTCCGTTAGTGGCAATAAGGAGTAGGTCCCACATGTCATGTAGGCCCACTTGTCTGTAGCTTGGCCTTATCTTCTTGCTCCAAAATCTCGCATCCACGGTTCCTCGTCCGCAGCACCGAGGAGCTCACCCGCACGTCTGCGGTTCCTGGCCGGCGTGGTCGCCTCCGTGTTCCATGCCACATAGTCCGTGTCTATGAAAATAATTTTTGAAAAAAAATGAAAAACAACCATAAAAATAGTATCTTTTTATATTACAAGAGAAACACACCAGGGAGGCAACGCAATAGCACGTCGCAAATCATAAAGTTCATGCAATTTTCGCACAAAATACACACATGTGTGCGCGCGGCTATAGATTTGAACTCCGACCTCAAGCCTCACGCAAGCCCCCCAACTATACTAGGTCATAATCTCCAAAAAAAAACTACTACGTCATAGGGTCACTTTTGACAAAGTGTGGGACCCAGTTTTATCTATTGATTTTTACAAATCTTCCGTCACATATTTTGATACCAAAAAGTTTTAAACTAAAAAAGAGTAAAATGTAAATTTTTTAATCTTATCAAGCATAGCATGTCTCTCCATCCGAGGTCATTTAAAAAAAAATTTGAGATCTTGAGAACTTAAAACATAATTCCGAGATACTAAATAATTTCAAATGGATCAACTACAAAAGTTATAGATATTTTTGAGTTCTACAACCTTGATAAAAGTTTGTCTTCATCTGACTTGACTTAAAAAAGTTATGAATTTTTTTGGTATTGCACCTATTTTTAGAGGCGAGCTACATTATTAACTGTCTCTTGAAATCGATTTCAAAAGGTATGTGGTGTTTTCAACCGCCTAAAGAAATGTCTTTGTTTCTAGAAGTGGTTGGAAACTCTAACGTCTTCTAGAAATAAGATTTCTAGAGACAGTTGGTATTGTCAATTGTATCTAAATATAGAGGACATTTCTAAAGGTGACCGAAAAATACGAACCGTATCTAGAAATCAATTTTGAGAAGTGGACCGTCTCTATAAATTTTGAGACGGTTTGTGATAAAACCGACTCTGCCTAAAAAACATTGGGAGCAAGTGAAAATTGTTTTTGTTTATAATTTAAGTAATAAATGTCGATCAAACTAATCAATGTTTTGTACTTCTCACGAAGAGATAAGAAATGTTTGCATTATTAGTTCATTGTGAAATCTTCATGATATATATAGTAGCTAATCTACTATTCCACCTAAATGGAAAAATTGGAAAGAAGAGGTTTCGTGTGGTACTCCCAAATAGGGAGCCGTTCATTTAATTAGATCGGATGTTTAATTAGTATCTACTTGGTAGGTGGTAATAGTTGAAATATATATTTATTTAATTTGTAATTTTGTAAAATAGGATAAATAAGGGGAAAATATTTGTTTTAGATTAAAAAATATTTCTTCTAGATCTAATGGTTGCATTATGATTCGTTAGAGATATATATGGCAAATTTGTCTATTAACGTGACATATTTGATTAGTTGGAACATGTGTTCTATATCTGGAACGTGTTTTCGTACGTGTTCCTTATTCAATTGTGTGTGTTTTCTACCGTGTTACCTTACAATTGGGTTTATACTATATGTATGGTTTTCTTTTTGAACATGCATGTTAGCTAACACAACATGTTTCTTTTTGGTAGTGTGTTTCTGATGCTTCAAACGTGTTCAAGATAGGCATTACTAGTTAACTTTATGTGTCTGCTTCCGTGTTGAAGAAGTGTCATATATGAGGTACACACTCATCAGGCTAGCAGCTGCTGCAGCAAGGACATAGGTTGCATGGCAGTCCAGGTGCATCGGATATCCAGGATTGGGATTGATCCCTCTACGGTCACAAATCCATGCTCGATGAAAATGAAACACTGCATGTCGTCATTATCGCGTGCTTATTAATTATTCCATATATATGTGGCAAATGATCAATCCTCCGAGAGTTACTGCTGTGATCGCTCGAACACCTGTCTCCAGCTTTCAGGCGAGTCCACCCTATATATAGGGCTTGTTTGCTTCGAAGACTGAGAATCTTGCCTGGCCCAGGCACCTCACCCAGGCCGTCGATTTCCGGCACCTGGGGCTGGATCGACCTGCCTGGGCGGGTGCCCCCAGGCCAGGTCTTCATCCAAACACGCCCATAATGCCCCATGCACGAGCTTTACAAATTGTAAAGCATCCAAGAGCATCTCTTAATCAGCTATAGCCTATAGGTAGCTACCAACGTCGTCAATGGCGGGGCACAGGAAGACGCCTGCCATCGCGGCGGCATTCCTCGTCTGCTGTCTCCTGCTCTCCTCCACGGCGTAAGTGTCAGCGGCGCGCCTGCAGCTGACCGCTCGAAAGATCGCCTCCCCTCCTCCCCCTCGCTTCCCCCACGATCTCATAATCATCAATTACCTGTTCCTCCGGCGCCGACCCATCCTCCGTCTCCCAACCCAGCGAAGCAACCGCCGCCGCATTACTATATATTCTAGCTAGCGTGCTACCGTGGGAATATATATGCTTGCTTTCGATCATCTTCTGATGAATAAGTTGTTTTTTCTTTGTGATGCATAATGTATATATACCATGTATAAAAACACATTACGTGGACGTTCTTGACGATCGGAGAAATAAACGTCAGAAGTAGCTAGGGATGAAAACAGATCGGATCAGAGCGCATAATGCCTTTCCCATATTCTAATTCGTTTTTGTTTGTCCAATTCGGATCTCAGCGGATAATACTCGGATGCAGATGTGAACACAAATTTTTTGGAGTGTCAGAACTGGTACAGATATGGAGCGGAAATAGATTGAATACGGATTTAAATAGTCGAGTTATATGTTCATACTTGAGAATTTTATACTTGCCAAAAATTTATTTGTAAAGATTTAATAACAAGTAGCAGACAAAAATCATATACTCCATGTTGCGGCTATCACACTGACACAATTAACATTTAACAATTTATTTATCCTCACTAAAAAATGATAAGTTATTAGCCAATTTGTAATAACATCAAGCAAGATCTCAATTCAAAATTTATAATGTCAAACAATGACATCACAAATTAAGAGTTCTCAACTAACGAACTTTTTTTAAATCCTGAATTCCTCTAGGTTTTAGTCTAGGAAGAGAAATTATCAGATATTATATTCTAAACATCAGATAATCTGCATAGAATTTGTGGATAATCCATATCCTCCGGATTTTATCGATTCCATATCCTATCCGGCATCCGCACATAATTCGATTCGGATTATC